CGTATTAATGAAAGCCAATCTGTTCCAATAATGTACGTATTAATGTTTTTATACTTGTCCATTTTGACTTAATAACTCAAAATTATTTACGATATTTCGAAACAAAAGCAAATTTTCAGATTCTGGTTATTACTTATTCTGAGACTTTATGATATATAATGGAGACATGTGCAACGCAAGATTAGATTGATTAAATTTAGATATTGCATGTGATTGAAAAATCGTTGATTATTAATTGAGCAAAATTAGCATCCTGAAAAATTTCCGGTCATCTTCGTTAACGTTAATATGTAGCTTTGTCATGACGCTAAAAAGTGTCGACCCCGTGGTCTCTGAATCAGTGTTAAATAATGCCAAATTCGTTAAGAATGAGATTTTTACAGAAACTTCATTAAAGCCTTTCGAAGGAGATATATTGCGATTTGATTGGTTCACCATCCACGCCGCCAAAACTATAACTATAAATTCTCAAGATCCCGCCCAAATGACAAATTAGTAACGGTAAATGATTTTTTTTAGTTGGATTTTTGGGTGACACATTGGGGTGTACTGTATACTATGTAAATCAAAACTATGTGTGGCCATAATGAATATTTTTTTAGATAGTGATCGATAAGTAACATTTTATAATAATTGCTACGAAATTTAAATAGGTGTACAGTCTTAACGGTTCGATAGTTTTGGGTAAAATTTCACAAAGACTAGTATTACGTCCCTACAAAGCTATAGTTCCATTTCTTTAAGAAACTAAATTAGGTTTAAAAAATAACAGTGTAATTTTTTCGTGTTTAATAAAGGATTAAAGAAATGGTTCCATAGATTTATTTATAGAGACGTAACAATGGTCTTTGTGAAATTTTATCCAACCGTTAGAGCTGTGCATCTATTTAAAATTTTGTAATAATTATTTACCTGTCGATCATTATCTAAACTATATAGTTTTGAAGTACACCGCGCACTGGTGTGTATTCTATCTGTTAATTTACAAACATAGTGCAGATGATCAATGTTGCCAGCAATAGATGATCAGTGTTGTCAGCAATAGATGAATAGAACAATAAAGGGGGCGTCTAAAGCGGAGCAGATTCTTATAATATATATTTTATTGAATTAAATTTAGGGTTAGGGTCATCTTATATTGGGGTTAGGTTAGGTTTTAGAAGCATGACAGAAGTTCTATTTATGCATAAAGGTTACACAAGATTTTATATATCAAAATCATAGGGATGGGAGGTATGTCATATGACCGCATATCAAAAAAATCGTCCGTTCTTTACAAAACTTGGCCAGGCCGTTCGTTAGTTACATTGCAAGAGAATTGTAGTGACCCATCACTGAGATCATCAGATCCACGGGACTTTTATTAGAGGTATTTTTTATATTGGGTAATAATATGTAAATGAACTTAAGTTAAATTTTCTTTTTTTTTTTTTTTAACATTGTAGCAACGATTCAGAGGTTAGTTATATAATTTCGAATTTCATGCAGAGAATGTATTTTATTATTTCATTATTTCTTCTAATGGTATATATTTACCAATGCTCAATTTGATGAATCTCTGCTGCTAGTTTAGATGAAGTGTCTAGTGTTTCTTCTATTTCCTCAGAAACTTCTTCCGTGCCTTCCTCTATATCATTTTCATCATCGTCAAGATCTTCTTTGGTGAGTTTATTTTCCCCTTTTTCAATTCATTTTAGAAACGATTTAACATTTTCGAAGATTCCTTTCTTATAATATTCTTCGCAATATTTACACCTCCCATTATAACAGATTACATGATAGCCATGACCGCAAATGTATACCATACTATTATTATTGCTTAATGAAAGACCACAATAATCACATAGTTCAGGGTGTGGTGGATGAGATGTGCTATATGCTGTTGGTAGGTATCATAGATCTACTTCTTCTTTCAGAGTAGCTAGTTGGTATATCTCTGGTGGCTTTTTTTTGGATTTGTTTTCTTTGGTGGAGGTTTTTTTGGCAGGGGTTTTTTTGGTGGAGACTTTGTTAGTAGAAATTTTTGTGTTAGTTTTTTTTTGGTGGATTTATTTCTTCTGTATTCTCTGTAGTTTTTTGTTAGGTTTTGGAACACTTCTTTCACGATTATGAAACACATCCTAGAAATATTGTAAAAGAAAAAGGGCCATTTTTTCATATAAGAAATCAAGAGTTGTAATATTGTATGGATATCGCCGTGTTTTACAATATGTATCTTTAAATGCAAGGTCATGATCTATAATAACATATGCTTGCTTTATTACATTATCTGCTGTTGCATTTTTTGATGTATTGGCTCTAATTCGACTATGGGTATTTTCTACATAATATTTGTTAAAACTAGTCAAATGATTTTTTATCACATTTAAAAAAGGATGATTATTATCATTCCAATAGAATAGATCAGACAAAAACATAAGAGGGGCCTTATTATAGTTCTTTCGTTTCCATCGCAGAGTGAAGGTCCAAATACAAAAGACTGTTTCTACATATTCATTGAACAACCCCTATTGAAATAAAGTAGCATAGATTTCGAGTGTCGCTGGAATTATATTATCAAATAAGTCAATCATCGTTCGATACTCGATATCTTTGCATACTTTTTCAAATTTTTTTATGATTTTGTCCTTTATTTTCAACCAACCATTCCGTACAAGCTCCAATAAAAGGTTAATCCTCCAGGGGCAAGGTTTTTTTGCCAATTTTTTTTTTTGCCAAATACGTAATGAAACATTTTTTCAAAAAAAGAATGATAAATTATTATAACATGTTCCCTACTATTTAGCAATAGATGTAGCAGACCCAACATAGATAAAAATGATTCAATTTGTTGTAGAATAATGAAATTTGTATTAGATAGATTTCGCAAATGTAATAATTTTCTAATAAAGAGCTGGCCAGGCCAGTCAGCAACAACAGGTATGACTCGTCTATCTAAATGTTGCATTTTACTATTTATTAATAGTATAATATTTAATGCACTAAAATAATCCTCTACAGAGTGCAAGTGTTGTTCCCTAAATTCTACAAGCTGAAGTTCTCGCATTGATCTCTCTTTCTTACGTTCTACTATATTATCAGTGTAACTATGTATTGTTAGCATTTTGATTGGATCGAATTGATTAATTATTAAACCTTGTGAAATTTTATGTGATTGATAATCTGTATATGAAATATCAAAAACCCTGGTATATACATTTAGTAAATACCAACAGATTCTCCATGCTTCAACATTTTCTGGGTTATGAACCAACACTTCATTAAATGTAAGTTGTACAGAGAAATATTCAATAACAGGTTTTGCTACACAAGTAGCAAAATGATTTGCAGTCGAAGTTGATACAGTATCAGGTCTACGATTTTTGTAGATTGCATGATAATTGTCGATATTGTAAATGTGAAATAAATTTTTCTATTTATTTAATATAAATTAAAATTTAATAAATATATAATAAAAATATCTAATATATTAATTTACATTTACATTTTCAGTAAAATGGGTTTCAATTTTAGTTGTATGTTCTTTTTGAATTTGTTTTCGATATTCCTCTACGGTTTTAGCATATACAGAATATTCAAGAGTTGACATCGTGTTAATTGCCTCCCATGTTGTGCCCGATACCATTAAATATAACCCAACTTCTAACTTGTGTTGATTCACAAATTTGGTGCGCAAACCCGCTAACATATAGCATAAGCCAACAATTGACTTTTTGGATTCATTTATATTATAAGCAGAGCATTCTTTTAGAATAATTGCATTCATTATATAATTAAAAAAACCTTTAAGTTGTGAGTTAGTAGTTTCGATCATATGTTCAAATTTTACTGGGTCTAGTTCCAAACTAGCACCCTCTCGATGTTGTATATGATACAATGCTTTTGTTAATATATCTATATACGAAGCGAATGTTGGCTCCTCTATTCAAATTAAATAAAAATTAAACCTTGTAAAAAAAAAAAAAAAGCAAATATAACATATTACCCGTATTATTATTTGATACAGGTTTAATTGTTTTTGAATTTTTTTTTCGATTGCATGCTTTTTTTTTATGCCTTCATTGGTTTCTATCAGCTTCTACAACTTTACAGTAATGTAGGTGGCAAAGTTGTTTTCTGACTTCAAGGTAAGAGTATACCTTCAGCATTCGTTTCTTGTAACTTTTTTCGTATGCAAGCTCTGTAAGTTTGCGAAACTTAATATTAGTATAGGTGCAGTTAATAATTGAGCAGGGGCCAAGATTTATTGTTATCATTTTACATAACAAATACGCGACGTCTGATTTTTTTTTTTGCAGCAACAAATTTTTATAAAGAAATGGGTGGTGGGGCACCACCGGTACTTTCGTTTAGCCAATCATCTCTGTTATAAAGTACATTATACCTGTGACTAAAATATTGACCAA